GCGAAACGTCTTCTGCTACAAATAAAGTCCAGTTGTTTTTGTATTGAACGCTTTTTGAAAGCATCACCTTCAATTTATCTGCATTTTAAACAAGCTTAAGGTGATAAAGATTTGTCTGTAAAACATTAAAAGCTGACTGTAATTGATTAAAAACACTGTTAGGTGAGAATCCAGAACAATATAAAACAGTATCATCAGCATAAAAATGAAATTTTGCATGAGGCACATTTAAATTAAGACTATTTATATATATATATAAATATATATTTATATAAATATATATTTATTTATTTATATAGTTTCTGAAAGGTTTTTTAGTTTCAGGTGTAGATTTGTTACACAGTGCATGCTCAGTAGTGAGGGTGTTGCTAAAACGTATTAGCTGTGCTGTATTGCAAACCCCTGACTATCCATTTTACTGTAAATGTACAGTTTTTTACCTGTTATAAAATGTTCTATGTGTTCACATGTGACACCTTCAGCCTGTTACAACTTTACATCAGCTGCAGAAACAAAAAGAACTCCAACAGGTGAAACACAGGATGTTTATCTTTATGTACTTGTAAGAAAAAAAAAAAGACAGTAATGTGTGAGGAATTCAATTTCCTCTTTGGGATGTGTTCTCTCTTGCTTTAGATGTGTTCTCTCTTGCTTTACGCTGACTGTTCATTCATCTTCTCTTTTTCTTCCTTCTAGTCCTCTTTCTTCGCAACACCCACTGTAAAAACAGTAACTTGTGAAATATGGCCTTCATCAAATCATTTGCTAGGCAACAAAATCATAAACACACTGCTGAGAGGAAACACTGCGGCTAAAACTGGCTTCCACTTTGTATTTTAATCATTTTCTTTTCCACATTCTGACACTTCTTGATTTTTCTTTCTTGTTACCATCAATTTACTTTAACATTTTTGTTTCTTCTTTCTGACTGTATGTTTTAATCTTTGAAGGAGATTTAAAAAAAAGTTATCTGTTTGTAGTCGGGGAATTTATGTTGGTCATTTGAAGATAACAAATATTTGTTAGTATCAGTTCATCTTAAACTGTATGTTTCATCATTTCATCAAACTTTCTATGTAAATCAGTGCTGATCCAGATGGTTTGAGCTCTAATGGGTCCAGTGAGCTCCATCATTAGAGGAAGAGGCTGAGAGTGAAGGGCGGTTGATGACTTCCACAAATATATCCGCTGCGGTCAAGGCTTTAGAGACAACCAGCCTCACCCTCCTCTCTGGTCCAGCTGCATAACAAAGATAAATAGCTGCACATTCCCATGCTTTTACACAATTAAAGCATCTTTTTAAGTAAAACCCTTTAGCTTTACAGAGAAGGCAAACCAGTGAGAAAAAAATGTAAGTGGTTCAGACCCCCACCCCCGTCAAATCACAAATTAACCTCTGTCATTAGGAGTCAGGGCACAATAAAGCAGTGTCAACACATTTTGTTACAGGGCTTTACTCTGCGGAGGCCCACACCATCTATGGATCACGATTTGATTCTGTTCTGTCTGGACAGTGAATGTCATCATGGAGGTTTTCTCAAAAAAACATCTGCTTCAAAAATGGGGCAATTAATTAGTTGTTGCTCTCTTCAGAAAGGAGATAATGTTTTTACTTCTTGGGCCTTTGTGTTTGTTACCATAATACATTTTCACAGGATGGAATTTAATGAAGCACAGAAAGGAATACAACTCCATCCATCCATCCATCCATCATCTTTACCCGCTTCTTTCTTTTCCATTTGCAGGGTTCACTGGTGCCCATGTCCAGCCATCACTATGTGAGAGGCAGGTGACACCCTGGACAGGTCTCCAGTCCATCACAGGGACACATAGAGACAAACGAGACAAACAACCATTCACTCTCTCACTCACACCTAGGGACAATTTAGAGTTACCAATCAGTCTAACATGCATGTTTTTAGTCTGTGGGAGGAAACTGGAGTACCTGGAGAAAACCCACACATGCACGGAGAAAACATGCAAACTCCACCCTGAATGACCCCAAGCCAGGATTTGAACCGGGTCCAAGAAAGGAACAACTATGAGAAATTATATTTTGGAATCAGCCTGAATCAAGATGGCCATCACAGATCATAGACCTCTAAACACAAAAATGGCTTTAATTTTCACAATTTTAGATATTGATGTATAATTCAGTGTGGTAGCAGCTGAGAGCAGTGGTGATTTTAGCCTCGGGGTGCTCAAGCACCCGTAAATTTTAACTCAGCACCCCTGAAATATAAAGAAACCATCATTACGATTTTGTAAGGAAGCTAATGCTCAAATCTTAGATTCACTGAAATAGTTAATACATTTGTAATAAATATGGACTAAATGATGACACTCTTAAACTGGCCAGTAAGATCTATGATTTTTTTGCACGATCTCGATCCTTGACGCCACCTGTCAATCAATCCAGTACGCTCGTCAGCTACTGACCAATCGGCAATCTCAATTTGTCTCGAAGGTAAACGCCCCTTACCTGCAGGAGCAAGATTTTCCTACGACAGCATTGTCGGAGTTTTGCATTACAAACACTTTGCAGTCAGAGGTTAATAGTTAAATTAAAGGTTAACGCTTAAAGCTGTGCTTTGTTTTGTGTTTATCTTCTGGTTGCATAAGTTTAGTCTTTAGTTGATATGATTCTTTTAAAGACTTATTTGAGACTGAGCTCATTTACAGCCATACCACCCTGAACATGCTCCATCTCATTTGATATCGGAAGCTAAGCAGGGTCAGGTTTGGATAGTATTTGAATGGGAGACGGCCTGGGAACACCAGGTGCTGTAAGCTTTTGTACTTCTCACAATCGTCACCATGGGTGTGTTGTTCAAGCCATCATCAGCACTGGGGGCTAAGCACCCCTAAAAGTCAGATTCTAGAATCGCCCCTGGCTGAAAGTTATTGACTACACATTCTATGAGCAAGACATCCTGACATGTTAAAGACGTGACATAAACTAAAGCGACTTGTTCAAGGGATGCTAAGCTTTAATTTAACCATCAATTGTATAATTTATATGAATGTTGTAAATGTTTTCTTTGATACACATACACTTTTTTTGTAATACAAAAGTGTTTTTATTTATGGTCAAAAGCATTTTCCCTCACATTCTTCATAGAAACTGGTTGCTTCATTAAAAGACAAGGAGGAACTATGGGATTCTTTTCACATGAAAGGCTTCCAATTGTTTGGCAGAGTTACTCAAAGGGTGCCAGAACAAAAGACAATCATGAAGGGAAAGTCAGGAGGCGAATATCAGATTGTATCTTTAGCAG